GGGCTTATATAGGGTCTGGTTAATGCACCAAAGCCACGAACGGTTTGTAAAGTCGTCCGTTTCATTCGCTCGGCTTTCTTCAGTTGCCCCAGATCTAATTCAGAAATTGTGGCCATCGACGAGAACAGTGTTGTTCTCTTCGGACAAGGCCCATCATGTAAGGCCATCCAAAGCGACTGTTTGTAAACCTGCCGGGGAGAGAAAGGCAACCGATCATTGCTTTAAGGGTTTAGGGGCTTGGGGGGTTTAGGGGTTTAAGGGTTTGAGGTTCAGGGAGTTTCGGGTTTAGGGTGGTGGGTGCGTGTGTGTCTGTGTGTGTATGAGAGAGAGAGAGAGAGAGAGAGAGAGAGAGAGAGAGAGAGAGAGAGAGAGAGAGAGAGAGAGAGAGAGAGAGAGAGAGAGAGAGAGAGAGAGAGAGAGAGAGAGAGAGAGAGAGAGAGAGAGACAGAGAGAGAGAGAGAGAGATAGAGAGAGAGAGAGAGCAAGTGAGAGAGAGATACAGATACAGATCATAATGGAGATTATGGGGGTGTGTGGGTGTGTTCGTGCTCCAACACCAGCCTTCGCGACCCGGTTGCACAGCCACTCCCACCGACTATAAGCCGACAGCAAAGAGCCTTGTGGCTGCTCCAGCAGCCAGACTCCGTTCTGGCACATAACCAACAGCACAAGTAGGACACACCTTAGAGCAGAGGCCATCCGGGTTTCTCATCAACTGCACTTGATATCTATGCCTGAGCTAGCAGGATATAAATACTTGCAGCAGAAGCTCCGAGAAACAGTGCAATTGTTGTTATCTACCCAGGGTAAGGCTTGCCTTCCGGCAGGGTTCAAAGCTGATCTCATTGATGTTCCACGTGTAGTGACCACCCAGCTACCACAGTCGGGAGCAATGAGGTTCATGGCATCGGGAGCTTGGCACATAATGACATACATGGCCAGCCTCAGATGTGGATCTTGGCACGGCCCCAATCATGCCCGACATACATGATGTGTGATAGGCTACACCTGCATGCAGTTCCAAACATCCAGCTAGCCACGCGAAGCCACCGTGGGATAGAATATCCATGGGGCTCCCGTAGAGGCAGTCAAAGGATGCGGTTTTGAAGCCTTGTTCATGCCTCGGATCAACTAGCATTCTGCTCGAAGCATGATGTTTCGAAACAGCTTTTAGTCTAGCAGCCAATACTTTGTCACGGCCCCCTCCCCAGCAAACACCTCGAAGAAGTGGTAGCGCTCGTCGAAGGTTAAGTTGGTCATCCAGCGAAGACACAGGGCCTGCAGTATTACATTCATGCCGGATACAGGACAAGGCTAGAACTAGAACATGTATATACTGTAAGCGTCAGCCAGGAGCCCAGGCTGTGGCAATGAACACCTCAGCTGTATAGCCGGGCCAGTTTGTCAAATGCCAGCTAGAGATATGCACATCTCAGATAGTATTATTTGCAATCAAAGCACCTTCGGAGCATTTAGCTGTGCTAAATTCACAACCACCGAATGGCCACGAAGCACCATAGCTGGAGTCCCAGGCTGACAAGCTTTCTTATGAGCTTGAACAGAACCAGCTAGCGTAGGCTACGGTCGACTTTCATGCAAAGCCCCAGCATGCACCATCAACCGGTCAGGGCAGCTGCAAGAGGGCAAGGAGGGCACACCCGCGATGGAGGCCCGCACGGCCCATGCCTCCGGCATGGTAATCCTGCGAAGAGTAGCTTGAGGAGACAGAATATGTACTTCATGGTATAATGTTTTAGCTCTTGCAAGATGCACACATGCTGCATGTGCACTGAAGTGCTCTTTTTCGAAGCAGTGCTGATAAGCTTGGATCGTGATGTCGGAACACCCCAGTGACAGGCAACGGGCCTGTTGCGATGCATACATTTAAACATGTATGCCACCACCCCTTGCAGCATGATAATGAGGCCTTTCCCTCGCACACTGCATCCCCAGAAGGTCCGAAACTGACCAAAAGAAGTCACTGCTCAAAATCGGGCTGGTACTGGTCCCAAGAAGTCGATCTAGTTCGTCGAAGCATAAGCCTCAGATGCGTGCCAGTTACACATTGCATGCCATAGCTAATATGCATGTTTAACACACTGCACACATGGGTACATGTATACATTGCACACACAGCCTAGGAGCTGCCTTTGCCATTGTCCTGCAATCTTCATCACTTTTTCCCTGTTGCTTGCCTTCCTTCATCGCACGGTGGTATGCCACCGACTTACGTGACAGCCTTGCTTTGCGCTCAGTCTCGTCGTTGCTTGCACCTGCTTTCGGCTTGGACTTTGCAGTGGCCTTGGCCTTTGCAGTGGCCTTTGCTTTGGCTTTGGCCTTTGCGCTAGCCTTGGCTGTTGCTTTGGGCTTGGCTGCTGATGCTTTGGGCTTGGCTGCTGATGCTTTGGACTTGGCACGTGCTTTGGGTTCGGCAGCTTCCTTTTTATTCTTGTTTGTGTTTCTCTTGCCTGCTGCTGTGGCTTCGGGGGCGGCTGTTGGGCTTGGCTTGCGCTTGCGTGTCTCCTTCTTTGGTTTCTTGCTTTTGCAAGCCTCATCCTCCTCCTCATGCTCAGAATCATCGCGGCTCCTCTTCGCACGTGTCCCAGGCTTGGGCTTGCTGGGAATGGGATCAACCTCCGGCTCATCCTCCTCGTTCGAGGTAATCTCACTGTCCTGACCATCATCGTTTTCAGCATCCTCCTGGACATCACCACTGCTACGTGCACGGCCACGAGAGTGGCCCCTTCCCCGAGCCTTTCCTCGGCCACGTCCTCGACCTCTTCCTCTACCCCGTCCACCCTTCTTTCCGGCGGATGTCAGCGACATCTGCTCGGCTGCTGTCATGGCTGGAGCATCGCTACTGACCGGACACTCAGGGAGCACATCGTTACGATCATAGTGCACAGTTTCCTTGCCAGGGGTTGCACCAAGGGGCTCACTTGAATCCTCCTTTTCCTTTTCATCTGCAGGGGTCTCCTCCCCTAGGATTGTGGCATGGGGCTCACTTGGATCCTCCTTTTCCTTCTCATCTGCATGGGTCTCCTCCCCGAGCACCACCGAAGCCTGACCCTCAGGCTCAACACATTCATCACTTTCCTCCTCCTCTTCCTCCTTCTCCTCTAGATCATCAGCACCAGAGGCCAACGGAACACACCGCATAAGTGTCATGTGCCCAGCATCTTCCTTTGCATCCACAGCCTCCGACCCAGCCTTTGCCTCAAACTCGGACACGGCATCAAACTCGGGGGCCAGATCATAGGCCAACGTGTCGTTGTTGTCCAGGCCTGGGCAACAAGCCAATTAAGGAAGGGATTGGATGGGAATGCACATGCACACACAAGCACTAGCAAACAGAAGTGCGATCAAAGAACCAGCTCCAGCAGCATTGGGCTCGGCATCAACTATTGTCTCCAACATCTTCGTTGCGAGATTTTCAGCTGAAACAACCGAAGCCAGCTTCATGTTCTCATGTGTTTCCTCGTCTGCTCTCACATGCTCTTTGGCTTCACTCCTCACTTCACTCGCTTCACTCTCCTCGCGCTCGAGTGCTTCGGCTTCGGACAACGACAGCGCTGTGGCCATTTGCACAGCCTCAGCCTCCCGTTCATCTAGGCCCTCGGCTAACAGTGCAGCTTCCTGCTCATGCAACTCCTGAAGTTCTACAAGCAGGGCCAACTGCTTCTCCTCCTTCTCCAGTTGTGCTAGCTCTGCACGAAGAACCTGTTCCTCTGCAGCCATACTGTTCACTCCCTTCTGCGGTGTTTTTTCAACTGGGGTGCAGGGGAGGCTGCCAACTTCGGGAAGGGGGAAGCAAGGCTTTGCTTTGAAGTCACGTGGATCCATGCCGTGGTTGCCGCACAATGTACAAAGAAAGCCCCATGTCTCGTTCTTCAGAAGATGATGCTCCTTGCGGGCTTTGGCCTGGCTTCTGGGACTCAGTGGCATCTCTCCTGGGCTGATAGCATTGCATATGATCGAATGATAAATAGCACAGGATATGCGTGAAACGACACCTCCGATCACATGTCCTTTGCATATATAATTGCAGCCCCTGTCTCGTGGAGGCGGAGTCACGATGGGGTCCGAAGAGGATGAAGCTCCAGAGCCTTGGAACCGACGATCAGAGGGATTACCATGGGTTTGAGGTGCAAAGGAACTGGGGCAACTAATATGCTGGTAAGCTTCTGAGACCTGGCAGCTCGAGCTTCCGGATCGGTGAATCCTAGACTGTCACGATCTACACATCATCACCGTGGCAAGGTCATGCTTTATAATGCTAGCAGTATCGATCTATTTAGCAGAGAAGCTTTCACAGTAGGGGAGCAGGGGATGTCGACCGGCTCATCATTTTCGGGTGCCTCTTCCTCGCCCCCCTCCTCAACACCCAGCCCTTCGTCTTCGGAGTCTTCCGACCGGACGGAGCCACCTTGGATGGGATTAGGCCGGGTTTATGGGAAATGTACATTATAGGTACCATCGGCTGAACGAATCACTCAAGATGCTGCATGCGTAGGTTGCAGGTAGGGCACAGTTCGATGGCAAGGGGATCCCGCTTTGCTTAAAGAGCTGCCTCACGCCTGGTTGTCTGGGCTCATGCGGCCTCTTTGCACACTGACTGAAGCAGGTAACCAGCCGTCTTGCCATCCATGCTTGTACCTGGATTTCATGACCTCATGCAGGAAGCTGAAAGAACCTTGTTGTATCGAAATTTTGCATGAGTCTAGGATGAGAACTAGCGGTTTCGGACTGAGCAGCTAGTGGGCATTCGAAGATGCATTGGCCGGCTGGCCATATACAGCCTCCGGAAGAACTCGGCCAGCATAGCCACCGAGGGGCGTAAGCCTGGGCTGAGGATTTCTATTTATTGGGGCTTAAAACATATAGGCTAGCAGGAGCAATGCTAAGTTAAACAAGGAGCCAAGGTGTTGAAGAATGGGAGCCAAAAGATCAACATTCTCACCCAAGTGTTCTCGCTTAATCTTCTTCGCATCGTTTGGCAAATGCACAAGCATGCCCTGGGTAAGCCTGCGCATCACGGTTTCGCTTTGTTGCCAAGCTTTCAAAACATCACACTGGCAATCGACATCGGCTTGGGGCGCATTGTCTTCAAGAGCTTTGGCCATGGCAACAGCTCAGAACTAGACGGTCTGACCGTCCTAGTCAACACAAGGCCCCGAAGCCTGGAACCCTAGGAAGGCCCAAACTGTTCTGTGCACGATCTAGTGCGACTGCACTGCTCACACGTATACCGTTTAGAGTGGATTTGATGTCGATCAGATGTGACACATGCATGTATGCATGTCATCCGAAATGCAGTGACGCTTTGAGCAAGGCAAGTTCGATTGTGTGCAATCATGTGCCAACTCGGCCAAATCAACTTCCATCCTTCAAGAAAGACGGCAGGGCTTCGGTCCTTCTCCCCCCAGCAAGACAAAGTCGATGCCATCACAGTACCTGTTTGGCCATCCGAGGAACTACTTGCTGGAGTTCGAGAATGAGGGCATGCGTGCACAAACAGTACATATCAGGGCGCACGGCGGGGAGGGTGATCACGGCGACCCGATATGAGCCATTTAAGCTGAAGAACGAGTCAGATTGCATGTCAGGCACTGTAAACCCTTGAACCAACCTAAAACCCAAAAGTACGCGAACCCAAGTAAAAGTACGCGAGCCCCAGAAAGCACGCGAATGCCAGCAAAAGCATTACAAACTAGGCCCGGATGGAAATAAGTATTACGATTGAATGTCCAGGCTCCCCTTTTTCGTTCGGGTTGCACGTCCAGGGCCGCAACAGTCAAGTCCCCCCAAACTCCCGTCGCTTACGGCGGAAAACCTTTTTCGTAGCCAGTCGCCTCGGAAGACTTAGCATTGCTGTTCCTCGAGGACCCCGTGTATTCTACAAATAAAGGAGATTAGTGTCTCTCTGACCCTTCTAAAGGAACCCTTACATGAAGCCTTGACAACGCCGAGGAACCTCAACCAGGCTGCAACGGCTCTTGACCGGATCTGGTGCATCTATGAGGCGAGTTTATAGGGTTTAGGGTTTAGGGGTTTAGGGTTTAGGCTTGAGGGCTTGGGCATTGTGGGGTTGAGGGTTTACCAGCTTCAGGGGCTCGGTTTCATCTTGAACTCACTTAATCTAGTGCTCTTACCTATCTTTCATTTGCATAGCAATACAACTCCAAGGGATCATTACACTATTGTTGTTTTTTGTTGTCGTTCCAAGGGTGCGTAAGGTTACGATCAAGGATTTAGGTTCAAGGCTTTCTGGTTTTGGGGGGTTTAAGAGTTTTTGCATTATGGGTTGGGTACGGCCCCCACTCAGTAATAGTTGAATAATTTTCATAATATAGATATATTAGGACCTTAATAGTAGCCCTATTATAGACTCTTACTGTATGGGGGCAGTACCAAAACTATAGGGTTTAGGGATATGGCTTACGGCTCATGGTTTAAACTCGAAGGGTTAAGCCGTAGAGCCTATGGTGTGTAGGCTCAGGGCTTTTGTCGGGTCTTCTGGTGTTTAGGAATCTATGATGCCAGATAGGGCTTGGGCTTTAGGACTTAGAGGGTCCTTAAAACCGAGTACCTGATCATTGGGTCCTGTGGACCCTTAGGGTTAGGGGTTGAGGGTCAGAGGTTTCGGGTTGCAGGTTGAGGATCTACGGTTTCGGGTTGGGGTTTAGGAATTAAGATAACGGTTTAGGTTGGGATTTAAGAATTAAGATATGAGGCTTCATAATTTTAGCTTTGTTTTTGTCGTGGGCATCTCTGTTCCTCTTCATATTCCTCTGTTGAAGTCGTTGTGTGTCGTTCTTCTTGCGCTTCTGTGTTCCGCAGCTTCCTCGGGCTTGTTATACTGGCCTGAATATAATGCATAGTTGGAGCGGCTTTATTGGGGGGCAGTATTTTTGATAAAGTTGCTAGGAATAAACCACTCTGGGCAATTATGGGGCTTTTCGGGGGATACCAATACCGATTCCGATTCTTCCGACCTTACATTACGTGGCTGTCAGTCCGTATTGCATTCGGGGGGCAGGCAGTCAGTTGCCCAAGTCTTTGGAGGTGAGGGCCCTCAACCCTAATGACCTGAACCCGAAACCCCAAACTTTAACAAACTTTAAACGACTTGTATGTTTCTAGGATTCTCAAGATGTGCATAAGTGATGTTATATCTTGCAAAAGGTAGACCCTATAGCCTTACCGCGCTCAGCCGGCGGAGGTCTACCTCACCCACAGCCTGGAGAAGCCTTTCACCCTGAACTTCAAGCTGGGACCTCTCGTGGGCGTGGTTCAGGAAACGACGCCGGGGTGCACTCAGAGTGCCGGCCTGGGTTGGGGTTTGGGAGTTTCCGAAAATGAGGGGTACCTGGTTATGGTGTCCTTGTACTGAGGATCCTATTATTTGGGGTACTATGTTAGGGTCCCCTGTCTTCGGAAACTCCCATTTGTCTCTCAAGGATTGAACATGCAGCCAAACGGGGACTATTGATTGAGCTCTATAAGGTCACGAGCGAAACCATAACCCAAACGTTACCTGTCTGGGAAATGCATTGGACACACACACATGTGCATGTGTATGCATGGGTATGTACATGTGTGTAAGCATGTAGGCATGTGTATGCATGCATGGTTGCTCGTTTTGTTTTGGTTGGCTGTTTGATCGTTTGTTTGTGTGTGTGTGTGTGTTTGTTTGCTTGTCAGTTTGTCAGTTTTTGTGTTTGTGTGTTTGGTTTTGTCTGCCTGTATGTGTGTGTATGCATGTAGATGCATATGGTTCTGTAATTAGGTATTTATTGCTATATATATATGTATATTTATGTATACATATGCGTGTGTGTGTGTGTGTGTGGTTTAGTGCGCGGATTTCGCAGGATCAAGTCTCAGTGTGCGGAGTGTTTCGCGGGTCCAGGCTACAGGACTTGATTGATTTGTTTGTCATGCCTTGGCCGTTATAGGACCTTCAAGGTAATGTAGGAACCTGATTAAGAAACCCTGGCCTATAACCCCCAATATATTAGGATTCATAAATAAGGAACCCTAATAAAGGCCCGAGGTTTCTTAATCAGGTTCCTACATTACCCTGTACGAGACTTTGATAGCACCAAACTATCATGTGAGTAGTTGTCAACATTATGGCCCCTGTTTGAGTATCCGATATAAGGGGTGCCGTGCTATAAAAAGGAGTTTTGACAACCACCCATCTGACCAAGCTCTGAACCCCGAGACTCCCAGGGAATGAGAAGGACTTCAAACCCCGAAGCGGCTGACTCCGATGGCACACATGGCATCATCTAGGGCTCCCGTTACCTAAATAGTAGGTTACTAATTATATATTGTATACCCCGGTAACCCTAAACCCTGAACTCCCAAATTCCTGAACCCTACAACAAGACAAGGGCACTTTACGTCTGTAGGGTACAGGGCCTTGATCTCGTGTGGGGGCGGTCTAGACTTGGGTTGAAAAGCAGGCTGCACAAAGATCAAAAGTCTGCTGCCCACACAGCCGTGCTTCAGTCTCCGATCCTAAACCCGACCCATAGCAAATACATTGTTTTTCCCCGTAGTAGATTAGGCAACCTTTAACCTTTTTTGGGTAGTACAGTCCCTATGTATTCCCTTTACAACCAAAAAGGTTAACCTTTAGTTCCCGACAAGTAGGTATTGTAGAGCCGAGGAAAGAAAAGGATTCATGGGTCTTCCACATCTTCAAAATGCTGCAGCACATCGACGTCCAGCAGGCCAACTGTCCCATTTGTGTGCTACGCTGCTACCTAAGGGAAATATGCACTTGGGTTTAGGATAGCAATACTGTACGTAGCCATTGAGGAGAGCATATGGTTGTCAGGTACTTGAACTCCTGGCACAGAGCAGAACTGCTTCAGAGTTCAGGAGTTGCGCTGCAAGGCTTATGGCTTATGGATCTAGGATTCTGAACGAGCTTCTGCAAGAGCTCCGAGCAGACTAGCTGTAGTGGCACCGGTTGAAATGCGGCGACTTCAATACTTCCAATAGGCACTGGTAATTTTCGGATGCCCTTCTAATTTACTGAGTTATCGGTCCGCCCAAGAATCCGAACTATCCTAATCAGGAGCTCCTACCGCTATATAAGCCGTGGAAAGATGCAGAAGATCTCTCTGATTCATGGGATTCAATTTGACGCTGTGTTGGCTGACTCTACGCGCAAGCCAGGCCGATGCTACCAATCCAGACGACTACCGCAAGACCCTCGCATTTATTGAGCACACGTGTTCCGAGATTTGAACCCTGAGATTTAGGTATAGAGGAAGGCAAGTACTTTGCAGGAAGTTGAAAGGAAGGATAGCTCTACCCTGAAGGCTGGACTGGCTGCACTGTAGTATCTCGAGAAACTGACTCGGTTTGAGGCTGCGTGATTTCTCTTCACCCAGGAGGTTTCGACATCTGTCAAGCTTGTGTAAGATTCGTCATTGTGCCTTTGGCACGGGGGAGACTGTGCCAACATGGCTGATATTGTACACCCCGAAAGAAGCTATGATGATCACACGGTCGACACCGTCGGTGTTCTCACCATCTGGTGGTTGAGTATAGACAGAGGTCCGAGTGGTATTAGTATTCGTTACATTGTTCGTCACTGCATCATCTTTACAATGTTTGATGCCCGAAAAGCTCTTCTGCTTGTTTAGGCCGCTGCATTCAACTCTTCAAAACCCAGCAACGGTTGTTGTTCGGTGCGCAACTTCGGGCTTGCCTAGGATCTTGTCCAAAACCGGCCGTACTCAACTGAGCAAGGTTCCCATCTCTGCAAGGAACTATGCTGCGACGTAGCCTACAGGGCGTTAATCGCAAGTTCAGTCCGATTCTTTTAAACTCCCACACCTGTCCTGAGTTATTTTTCTCTGTCGTTTTTTTGGCTCCTTCCCATCCAGAGCGCGCAAGGATCATGGGAGAAATCGCAAACTTTCAGAGCCGGGACGGGCGCAGCGGGCCCCAGGCACGCCCTAAGCCCTAAACCCTACAAACCCTTAGTAATTATAATAGGGTTCGGGGGTACAGTATGCTCTAAGTATAACAAGGAACCCCCAAAACCCTTTTCTCATTATTAAGGCCCTTAAACCAAGTCCTTATATATAGCCCTTATAGATCCCTTTAAAGGAACCCTTATAGTAGCCCATGTAGACCCCTTTAAACGAATCCTTATAGTAGCCCTTGTAGTTGGCCTTGTAGTGGCCCTTTAAGGAGACCCAAAGGTCCTCCAGGATCTCGTCGGGTAGTCGTGGGTCAGCGCTTCGAGTAAATCGGAATCATAGGAGATCATCCCCTAAGGCGCCCCATGTACCCTTATATACATAGGGTTTAGGGTTTAAGGTTTAGGGTTCAGGGTTTAAGGTTTAAGGTTTAGGGTTTAAGGTTTGGGGTTTAAGGTTTAGGGTTCAGGGTGTCAGTTTTATGGTTAGGGTTTAGGGTTCAAGGTTTAGGGTTTAAGGTTTAGGTTTTAAGGTTTAGGGTGTAGGGTTTAAGGTTTAGGGTTTAGGGTTCAAGGTTTAGGGTTTAAGGTTTCGGGTTTAAGGTTTAGGGGTTTAGGGTTTGGGTTGTAAAGTACCTATATAGGGACTCTCTGAAGGCCTAAGTAGCTACTATAATGGTACATGGAGCCTTTGGGATCGCAAATCTTACGACCGTAAAGCCCGCAAACCCCCCAGACCTTCCAAAATCCTTTGAGTAAGGAATATACCTGCAATTAGAGTGGGATCCCTAATATGGTTTATAAGGTATATATTTCTAATACCAGGTTAAAGCTCTTTAGGGTCGCATAGGATCTTATAGGAGTTTAGGCTTTTCCCAGACGTTCCGAGCTCCCTTAAGAAATACGGCGATAAATTAGAGTAGGATCCGTAATATTGTTTAAGGTATACAGTAAACCCCATGAAGTTGGAAACTGGATTAAGGTCAAATAGTGCTGGGATTCCGTATACATTACTCTTAAGGATGGAGGCTCTGGGGTTTCCAACTTTTGGGCTTCTACTGTCTTCCGTATCTAAGGGATATTGGCCTCTCTGGGAACCGTCAAGCCCATGAACCCTAAAGTTCATAACCGAAACTTAGTAGCTGAGTGGATACACTTTACACATTTTGGGCTAATATAAGCCACTGGAAAACTGAAAGTGTACACTTTTGGGGGGCTATGAATTCAGCAACTAGGGAAACCAGTAGGATGTGGAACCATGATCTTCGGAATATCCGTTTAAGCACAACTCTCTGGTCGGGAGCCGTGATCAGTGTTCAGGTGTTGGGATCGTGCAATTCCACACTGTTCACGTGTTTCCGATAGAAAATTATTCTTTCGGCGCGGCCCCAACTAATTCTCCAAACCAAGATGAAGGATCCTTAAACCCGAAGCCCTGAAGAATGGCCTCCAAGACAACGAAAATCCTTGGGGCCCCCAAAAGCCAAAAGTAAGTGGTATTTATCGACTGTAGGACCCTAAAGTAGGCATTATTTGTATACTTGGAGCCCTACTGCTGATGGACAAAATCCTGCATTACGCATTATAAGGAATATACCATAGTTCCCATAGCTTAGAGTCCTTAGGTTCATGCAGGATTTTGTCCATCAGCAGTAGGGATTGTACTGCCCATCAAGAGTTCTAAAACCTAAACCCTAAACCCTAAACCATGGAGAACTCCGAGCCAGCAGGCGCTCAACCGCATCGTGAAAGCCATGCTCGGATCACAGGCCTTCGGGCCACTAGCGGTTTAGGGTTTATAGGGTTCACGGGGGTTTAGGGTTTATAGGGTTTGCGGGGGTTTAGGGTTTATAGGGTTTACGGGGGTTTAGGGTTTATGGGGGGATTAGGGTTTAAGGCTTATGGGGGTTTAGGGTTTAGGGGTAGAACTATAGGTTTAGGGTTTTAGGGTTTCGGGCTAGGCATCTCTTGGACGTAAGGGCTGATATGTAGGCGCCTTAATCATTACCAATACTGTTTTGGGGGCTTCCCTACTATAACCATCGTATACTTTACCTCCGAAACCTTATTCAAATTTCAAGATTTTGGGCCGTGCTAAGATGATGCAGGGTCCACAAGTGGATCCAGACCTCCACCTTGGCTTGTTTAGGCGTTCTTTTTGATAGTCACGACCCGAGTATTCTGGGACCTAGAGTAGGCCCTTATTCCCTTTTTTAGGATTTAGGTTCCCTTCTCACACCCTTTACACCAAAAAGGGCACCCTTTGTATTCCTAGGTTGCTCTTAGGTCTAGTCTATAACCGGTTCCGGCTTAGGCTTCAAAGTGCAAGGCTTGAGCTCTACACTTGCTGTTGCTATGCTTGACACTGACCCGTAAGCCCCTAAGCCCTAAACCCTAAAACCCTGAAACCCTAAAACCCTAAAACCCAGAACCCCTAAGCCCAGATCCCTTTTTCAGGAGCTACATAAAGAATATTATCCCAAACCCGAGTACCTGATTATTGGGTGCTTTGGACCCTTAGGGTGGGGTTCCAAATGTCAGCCACAAAAAGTAATACCAGATCGCATGCAGCTGTCCTTCAAGGCCATCTTCACCCTGGCACGTCGAGGCGACATGGGCGCGGTTCGCCGGGCGCTGGCGACCTGAATCAAGAAGATCAGAAAAGGCAGTATACTAAATATATATATATATATATATATATATATATATTTATATGTGTATATATATATACACATGTATATATACACATGTGCATATATATATAATGATATTCTTTCACTTATTAGAATACGGTATAAAGGAATATAGTATTACATGTTATACTCTGATGCATACTCAGAATGGAAGTTTGACCCCACTGCTGCCCCCTTCCCCGCCCCCCCGCCCTCGGGTGCAGTAGAAGGAGGCGACGAAGATATCAGTGCCCGAAAGCTTAGAGAATGACAGCCCGGAGCCCTAAACACTGTAACACAGATCATATCATTCAGGCCCCCGTGGAACTTCCGTTATCTTTAAACACGGTTGTTGGTGTTGGGTTTTATGGTTGGTGGCTCTGCGCTTGCAGCTTCAAGCGAGGAGCTGGACGCTGACCCGAATATCCCTGACACGCTGGGGATCCGACCCCTCACGTACGCTGCCGGCAACGGCCATGACGAGGTGCTACTGGAGAGAGGGGACCCTTGCAGGGGCTTCAGCAGAAGACGTCCTTGCAAGATTCCCGGTGCCGGAGAAATTGCAAACTTTATTTCGTTAGGATTTCTTTTCATATCTGTACTTTACATGCCCCAAAGCTCTAGTCTAATCATCATGGACTCTATACTGCCGAGCTGGAAGGGACGGCTCAGGGTTCAGGATTTAGGGTTGGGCTACTGTTCCTTCAGCCCTGTTAGTGCCCGGACCTTAATTAAGGAATACACCTTAAATCACATTAGGTATCCTACGATAATTTTACGTATATATACCTTAATTAAGGGATTTTGGAGGGTCTGGGTATGTCCCACAGTCTGGAAATGCACTGGGTGTTGAGGGTTCAGGGTTTTGGGTTGAGGGTTCAGGGTTTCATGGTGGGTTGTGCTAGCTGTAGCGGCAGAAGGCCTGCCGCCCAATTACATTGCATGATCCTACGCGTGCAGGTCCTCAAAAACGGAATTGAATCGAAAAAGGCTAGAAATTCCTATAGTCTCCATTGTAGTTCCATGTTTTGGCTAATTAAACCAATCATACATTTAGGATCCTATAAGGTAACCCCCCGAAAGGAACTGCAATGGCGACTATAGGTAATACTGCTGATGGACAAGGTCCTGCATGACCCTAAGGACTCTAAACGATGGGAACTATGGTATATTCTTTCTAGTGGGTAGTGCAGGATTTTTTCCATCACCAGTATAACCGTTTGGGTTTACTGCTTCACAATATGGAATTATAGGGACCCTCCTTTTTGTAGGTTTTGGTAGGTTAAGGTTAGGTAATACAACCCCAAAACCCTAAACCCTAAACCCTAAACCCCTAAACCCTAAACCCTAAACCCCTAAACCCTAAACCCTAAACCCTAAACCCCTAAACCCTAAACCCCTAAACCCCTAAACCCTAACCCCTAAACCCCCCCTAACCCTAAACCCCTAAACCCTAAACCCTAAACCCCTAAACCCTAAAACCCTAAACCCTAAACCCCTAAACCCTAAACCCCTAAACCCCTAACCCCCCCTAAACCCCTAAACCCTAACTAAACCCTAAACCCTACCCCTAAACCCTAAACCCCCTAAACCCCTAAACCCCTAAACCCTAAACCCCTAAACCCTAAACCCCTAAACCCTAAACCCCTAAACCCCTAAACCCTAAACCCTAAACCCTAACGGTTTACTGCTTCACGTCTCGAACTTCATCCCCAAAGCCTCGAACCGCGGAGCCCAGCCTCAGCGAACCCCAAATCTGATGCTCCTACGGTTGATGATATAAATCCTGGGGGTTCCTTTAAAGGGATCTATAGGGGGTACCTTTAAGGGGCTCCTTTAAGGGATCTATAGGGGATTTAGGGTTTAGGGATATATAAATCCTGCATTACCCATAAGGGAGTTTCCGAAAAGTAAGGGTACCTTAGTTTGGGGTCCTTATCATAAGCATCCTACTATTTAGGGTGCTATATTGGGTTCCCTATTTTCGGAAACTCCCATGATAAGGAATATACCATAGTTCCCATAGTTTAGGGTCCTTAAGGTAATGCAGGATTTATATCATGAACAGTAGGATCCTTGTCTTCCCCACTTGAAGGATCTTGGGGCCTAGTACAGTATAGGGTTATGCTCAGGTGGTTGAGGGCATTAATTGGGGTAAACTAATAAACCACCTTGTTTGGTACTTCTGGGGTTGAGGGAAAAACTACGAAGGTATGTCTCTCCATACTGGCTCGGTCCCCGGATTCTACAAGCAGCTGCACCCCGCGATGCAGGGGCCTTAATAATGAGAATAGGGTTTGGGTGTATAGCATACTATAATTCTAATGAGGAGCACCACCTCTTCATAATTAACCGTTTAAGGCCCCTACATTATCCCTGAAAGGTGGTTCAGACGCTTATCGCCGGCAAGGCTGACGTGCGTGCCCAGAGGGGTGCCAACGAGGCATCGGATGTGAGTTCGTTGTTCATTGGCCCCAACCCTGTTTCATCCATGTGTACTACAGGCTACTCAGTGATTTCGGAGTAAACTCGTTCTACGGCCACTTTTTTTGCATCCTTGTCTAATTCATGCATTAACTACAGTATTGAGCAGTATCCCCCAAAGCCAGGTTCCAGGTAGTATTTAGTCAGGGCCAGTAAGGCAGACTGACAGCATCCTCAGCATGAACATCATTGCTCCATCATCTTTTTCGTGAGTTTTACACAGCAATCATCGTCATGTTCATTGTAGCCATGTTCACCTTCATTAATTTTATAGCGGCTTTCACCGTCATCTTAGTTCAGTAGAGCAATTTTCACCTTCATTGCAAAAAACACCACCACCGTTGTCAATACCGTCTTGATGCCTGATGTTCGCATAACCATGTGCACAAACATGAGCTGGCCATTTGTTGGTTCAGGTGGTGTTCCCTCTCCTTCCCTGTAGCCCAATATCAACCAGCTAGCATCGTAACAAGTATCGCTCTTGCAAGAGACGGCTGCTACCCGTATAAAGAAGTGCATCATGGATAGACTAACTATGTTTTGCGCTGGTCCGTTTTGGAATCTTGTTTATACCCCGCTCGCTCCATTTGAATAGTCTAGTTGAGGCTCCTTCATGGTACCTCCCAGACCTTCCAAAATACCTCAATTAAGGAATATACCTTGAATTATCATAGGAACCCTAATATGATTTAAGGTATATTCCGAATATATTCTTCTATTTTCATTAAGGAGTATACCTTAACTCATAAAAAGGGTCCTATTAGAATTCAAGGTATATTCCTTAAGGGATTTTGGAAGGTCTGGGTCCCATGGGCGAGGTGTTGGCCATGTTTTCACCGAACCGGGCAGAGCGGCGACGATGTATCGACTTCGTGCGAGCGTTGGATGAGGCCTTGCTCTGACCATGCAGATTGCTATAGGGGTAATGGGCCACAAACCCTATTGGAATTATTAAGGCCCCCTATATTGCTTAGGTTGCGGCGGTTAACCCGATGAGGATCTCTGAACAGAGAGAGTGTGAATTGTGGCAATTGCATTTGGAGGTTGTTTGCCCCATGGATCCCGCATCCGCAAGTTCCTGTGCCATACTGTACGTATTGCCTGCTTTCTGGTTCTCCCTGCTAAAAATTTAAAAGAACAACTCTCTATTTACACGCAAATATATCTGTATTTTCCATGGTTCGACCCTGGTTTCTTGAGTTTCTGCTGTTGTATTTCCGCTATTGCTAGTAGTGCCCCAGACCGTCCAAAATCCCTTAATTAAGGAATATATGTATATATATATATATATGTTTATATACCTGAAATCATATTAGGGCTCCTCTTAGAATTTCAGGTATTTTCCTTCATTAAGGGATTTTGGAAGATCTGGGTGCTTCGGCTTCCGTTGCCCAGCGGAGACATAGCAATGAAGGGTCCAGAGCCTCGGTCCCTCAACCCTAAACCCTAAACCCTAGCCTCAACCCTCACCGGCTTAGGGTGATGTAGGAACCTGATAAAAAAAGCCTTGGGCCTTGATTGGGGTTTCTTTAATTGGGGTCTATCAGGGTTACTATAAGAGAACCATAAGGGTTAGTATTAAAATAATAATAGCTATTATTGTTATTATTATCATTATTATGTAGGAACCTGATGAAGAAACCTTGGGCCTTCACTGGGGCTCCTTATTTGAATCTTTCTGTTTTGGGGGGTGTTTCATAATCAGGTTCCTACATTAGGGTTCGTGGTTTTGCGGTTTGGGGCTTCATGGGTTCGGAGGGGTTTGTAGGTTTCGCGATTTTCGAGGGCCTGGAGCCTTCTACGGTAGGACGGCTGCAGAAGGCGAAACAAAGCCACGCTTACAGCCCATCAAAGCCTGCCGAGCAGGGCAAAAGTGTATTTCTGCACACCCAATATTTCAAACCTCACACCCTCATACTCTAAACACTGATTCCCTAACCCCCCTCCTGCAGACTTGACCTCAATCCGAAGCCGTAGGCTGGCATCTCTATTGGACTGTGGGATGCCCACACTTAAATAAAGACAAACCGTGATGTAGGGTTTAGGGTTTAGGTCCACCCCGAAACGCGAATCCTCCAACCTTCACAGGGATCATCATACGGACCGCAATATCCGAGTATTTGAAGAAATGCAGTCCCCTTAATAGGGATATGTTCGAGGGATCCCAAGATTAGTAACTTAACGGTAGGGGTTTAGGAACCAGGAGTCGGCACTAGTCGGCTATTTTAGGCTCCAAGCTACCCGTTGCCGAGGCAGAAACGGGCGGAGTGCACAGCCAGGCAATTAGCAGGGCGTTGCTCCAGCAGCTTTGGCTGAGCCAAGAGTTTAAGGGTTGAGGGGTTTTCAGAGTTGAGAAGCGGGAGCGACTTTTTAGGGTTTAGGGTTTAGGGAACCCTGTAATCTCTTTCATGTTCGGGGACCCTGAACCCCAAACGGAGATGTCTGAGCCATGCAAGCTGCAGAGTGGCCCCTTCAATGAAGCCCTTCCAAGGGGAAAGACTGGCCTCAAGGGTCTTTGTACCTGTACAGTACTTGTTATACGGTCGATGTTTATGCTGTATCTCGTGCTTCCCTGAGACACCCAAGAACGCTATTCTTGCGCAGCCACTCTATGGAACGGAGCAGGCCATGCTATGGACAACGCTCTGACCTTTGAGGTTTTGTAAGCTGAAAACCCTCTGGATTTGGGGGTTTATGTTTATTGCACAGCGAACCTCAAAAAGGCCCCGCGTCATAAATGCATCGGCCGTTAAGAAGCTCCTTCCGCCCAAAATCAGACCCTGAACCTATGAAGCTGCAAGCTACAAGATGCAGATATTCGTTGGGTACGGCCACCACTCAGTAATAGTTGAAGAATATTCATAATATAGATATAGTAGGATCTTAATAGTAGCCCTAATATAGACTCTTACTGTATGGGGGCCGTACCTAAGATATTCGGCTTTAGAGTTCGGGCTTTGGGTTTAGGGTCTGCAGCACCAGAATCCGAGCCCTTTCCACCCGAAGCTGCTTCCCTGCCCCAACCCCGTTTCTCGTATTTCCTGGTGTCAACCCACTATCCAAATCTTCATCTAGGATCCCCAGTAGTACCCTTATTCCTTTTTGTAGTCCTAGGTTCCTTATAAAGTTACCCAATACCAAAAAGAGAGGCCTTTTTATTCTTAGGTTACTGGGTATCCTAGTCATACACCCCCAAGCCTCTAAACTGCAAATGCTGGCTGAGGCACACCACCTCCCGATGTCAAGATCTCACATCTGCACTCGATGCCGATAACGCGGAGTTGCGGCTGGAGGTTCCGAATAATGCAAGTATACATCCGTCGTAAGAATAGCAACAGCTGTGACACGATGACAACAATATTATTTGGAGTACTATCCTTGCTGAATGACTTAGCCAATAACAAACGAAAAAGGAAACATCTGAATACACAGATCAGTATGTGTAAATACAAGTATGAACAAAAGCACCATGTATGTACATATATATATATATATATATATGTAATAATTGTAGTTTATATGTGTGTATACATATATATATATATATATACATATATATATATATATATATATATATATCTAGAGGCAGGTATGTATATGTATGTGTGTATATATATATATATATATATATATGTATATATATGTATATATATATATATATATACATATATATATATATATATATATATATATATATATATATATACATATATACACATACATACAGACGCGAGATATACTAGCACGTCCCTGAAGCCGTCTGCTGGGTTCTGTAGCAAGTAGCCGTTTTAAGTCCTTTTGGTGTGCACGACGGTATACGTGATTTGTATGTACACATATATATATATATATACATATGTTCAGAATCATCGACAAGAAGTAGTCATTTCTGACAATACAGGGTCTTTGTGTGTGATTTGGGGTTGCTTTGGGATTCTCATTATTACTGTGTTATCACAAATTACCATACGATTATTTCTACTATTTTACATTAGTTTACTATTTTACTTTTGTTAGACCCTAAACCCTAAACCCTAAACCCTAAACCCTACACTGCAGGTAGATGGACTCCTGTTCCCCATGCGCAGGTGGTGCGCGAGCTGCGATCTCTGCTGCACGCTCTGGTTGACCACCGGAACAAGCTCATGCGAGACCAGGAAGAGGCTGGGGTTTAGGGTTTAGGGGTCAGGAAGAGGCGGTGGTTTCCCTAAACCCTAACCCCTGAAAGCCCTAAGAGCCATAAACCCTGTAAGCCCTAAAAACCCTAAGAGCCCTAAGAAACTTAAGAACCCTGAACCCGAAAAACCCTAAGAACCGTAAACCCTAAGCCAAAAGCCCTAAGAGCCCTAAACCCTAAAAGTCTTCAACATTGGAAATGAGACGCTTAAAGAAAACTAAACCCTAAGCCCAAAACCCTAAGAACCGCAAGAACCCTAAGAATCCTAAACCCTATACAGGCCCAAAGCCTTTTAAAAGAGGCGTTTTTGACCAAGCAAACTAAACCCAAAACGCCCAAAGCCCCTAAACCAGGATCCGGCTGCACGGGATCCCGAGGATCCCGCCTCTGGGGAGGACGAGCGAATCGCCATCGGGCGCCATGCACCTTGGGCTCCAGTAAGTGATCCGTTAAAGGGTTCCCTTTAGGTGTTCCGTTCAGGGATCCTTTAAGGGTTCCTGTAAGGGTTCCCTTTAGGTGTTCCTTTTAAGGGTTCCTTTACGGGTTCCCTTCAGGGATCCTTTACGGGTTCCCTTTAGAATCCCTTCAAGAGTTCCTTTTCAAGGCTCCGTTAAGGGTTCCCGCTAACAGATCCCTTAAGGGATCCCTTACGGGTTTATAAGTGTGCTGTCAGGTTTCTGTACGGAACGGATCTCTGCAAGATGTTGCGGTGGAGGGCTTCGGGAGTCATGCAGGGTTCGGGATCTGCCTGTAGTGTAGGGTTGAGGGGGTTAGGTAATTGCATCGACTCAATTATAGTCCCTTTCAATACAACATTATCTCGTATCATTATCATACCCTATCACATCAGATCCTGTCATATCATATGACATTATGTGACATGGTATCATACCATACATAGCATAGTCTAAAACCTCCGAGCCCACGACAGGCAAGGAGCCTCGCACCGTACATGGCGGATCCCGATCCAAGAGTTCGCATCGCCGCAGCTCGGACTGTTAGCAACTTGAGGCTGGGTTTTGCTACTCAGAATCGGATGCCTTTAAGGGTTCCTTCAAGGGGTACATCGTAGGAGGATTCTGTATCGGTTGAAATGAGGGGTTCAGAGGTTAGGATGTAATTAGATTCTGTTTGGGTTTAGGGGTTTAGCAAGTGAAGGTGAAGGGTTATGAGGTTAGGGGTTTTGGGATTGGGTAATCAAGGGCTTCAGTACTGAAGCATGAATGTCGTATCTTCGTATGCATGTATGCACTCATGAATCGACGACGTGGTAGGGATAAGGTGCAAAGCCACATACTGTAGGGTTTATCAGGATTTAGGATTAGGCTTCGCACCACAACCTAGAGCCTTAGAGCCGGACCATTCCGAAATGAACTACTCCACAGTCCAAGCAATAGTTGAACTACTATTTGCTTTAGAACCCCCAAGAAATAAAAAAATATATTCCTTATAGGGATAATATAGGGATTATCATTTTTTATTCTTTGGGGGGTTCTTAAGCAAATAGTAGTGAACCAACACATCAAATAGACTGACGTATTCTAGAGGAGTGGCAAGCTGTTTTGTCGGGTTCCACAGGTGGGTGCTGAGGTCGCATGCAGATGTTGCTTGGGTTTTATCTGGTCGGAATTGTGGGTTACTGTAGAGGCCTCATTAATTAGAACTGTTATTTGTTGAGGGGGGGTCCTTATTATGAACTAGGGCATAATATCCCTCCAAACCACTCTAATGATTAAGCCCCTCACCTCCCGTATGCCAATGGAATGCCTGTCTTTCACAGGAGTCTTTGATTGCGTGTAGAGTTTGGGGGTTAAGGGCTAGGACATTTACGGGCAAAGCAGTGGGGCAATACTGCCTGGGAGAATAGCATTCTAAACTTGATCAGGCCAGTTCCGAAGGCCATAGCCCCGAGCCTGAAACCCGATCCCACGCCCGACGCCTCCACAACATAAGCCAAACTGCCATAGACAACCTAAACAGGTTCCTTTGAAGGGTTCTATAAGGTTACTATAAGAGCATAGTACAGGGGCCTTAAAACTTAGAGTAGGGTCTGGGGGGGTTTTACATTATACTATACCCTATAGACTCTGCAGGCCCTAAACCCCAAACCGTATGGACCCTGAACCCAAATAAACCCAAAACACCCTTGAGACCCCACACCCCTACAACAGTAAATAAGCCCTACTTAAGCCCTACTTAAAGGATCATGGTACTTATAACCTGACTTACCAAGTCCCATGATCCTCCAAGTAGAGACTTCCAACTGAGGTGGTGGAAGCCGTCACAAGCATCAAGGCCTTCGACCTCTCCTGCCTGAAGGCGGGCGAGGCTTAGGATATGATACAACATATCATACAAGTATTACAGGTGCAAAAAAACATAGCATATAGCACCATCACATATGTATATATATATATATACATATATCTGTAATTTCATAGTTATGTAATTACAGAATACACGATATACAAGATAGTTTCAGGAACTCTGAGACGTTGAAATTCACCGTTAGCCAATCAAATTACGCTTTTCAGTGATATATGAGAAGGTGACAGTCAGGAGCTGAAAAATGCGGGTCTCCTGTGCAAAATTCAGGGTGAGATTTGGACCCTAAACCCTATACCCTAAACCCTAAACCCTAAACCGTGGATTTCGGACCTGGTGCGTTGCCAGTCGCTAGCAGCAGCCCCGTTTGAGTCGTCAGCATATCCTCGACGGAACGTCTGGGAAGAGTTGCCAGTCGAAGATCCTATTGGTCAGGAGCAAAACCGGCCCCCGGTATGACACTAGGATGCCCAGTAGTACCCTTATTCCTTTTTTGTAACGTAGTCCTAGGTTCCTTATAAAGTTACCCAATACCAAAAAGAGAGGCCTTTTTATTCTTAGGTTACTGGGTATCCTAGGACAGCAGAATCGTCCGCACCAGTCCACAAGAGCCACGTCTTTTGCCCCTTGGCTCCACCGCGGTCCGTTCTGTTTCAGGTTCCCAAGCGGATGATCCAGGAGGACGACCTTCACATCGTCATCAACTCATCTGAGAAGCTGAATGCCGCTTGGCAGTTGGTACCATGCAGATGATTGTCTTTCACCAGAGCCACCTTAAACCCCCGTCGTCTTTGCTTACAGTCAGTGTTGGGAGGAGCATCCCGCGGCGCTTTCTACAGCAGCCCTGTGCATTTGTTTTGCCATCCACATGAAGCCAGGTCGTCCACCTTGCCGCGATGCAGCCGTACCCCAACGCTTTGTACATGCCCCTTTCCAGCAGTAGTCCCAGGACCTAGATAGCATATATTGTGCCCCTGAAGTACCTGTATAGGAATCTTTAAGGCTGTGTATCTTCTATGTAGGTGCATCGCCCTCGAGGTTCAGTCGTTGGCATTAAGCCCATTGTTTTGGGCACGAGACAGCAGCGTTTGGCCCATGCCGCCACCAATACGGATTCGGTATGTACTTCGGTCGCACAGGAACAACGCAGGAACTCCTTTCAGAGCCTACATATGTGCTATATAGGGGAAAAAGCCTGAACCTCAGTCCCGCAGCGCTTGCAGTACTTTTCAAAGAGCCCTTTATAGAAGCCCTCGCAAAACCGAATTCAACGGAACCCTTGAATTAAAACAGAAGCACACGCATAGACACAAAAACCCTAAAGAGCCACTACGCCACTCTGTAAGACATTGTTAATAAGGAATTTGCAATGACCCGACTATGATCGCAAAGACCTTGCTAATGAAAAAAAGAAGCCCTTCCAAGAAGCCTCATCAAAGGCTCGCGACGGGCGTCGACTGGGCTCTGGAGCCAAAGGCTCTCAGGGCCTTAGACGGGCTCGGCAGAAATATCGCGCACCTGGCAGCCACTGGGTCGTTAGTTATGTTATTTTGTAATTCTAAACCCGGATCCCGAACCCCAAAACCTAAACGATGTAGTGTTTAGAATTATATTCCCCCTCCCAAACCCAGAAGGTCCATATATATATATATATATATATACTACCATCATGGAATTGGGTCCCAAAGCCATAATATAGGGATGGTCTTTTGGGACCTAATTCAATAATTGTAGTGGTAGTAGTATGTATGGACCATCTGGGAAATAAAAGGCAGACCCAAACCCTTAAGCCCCCCACCATTGCCGTCGACGGTTGGCCTCCCAACTCACATCCAAGGTTAAGAGCGGCCACCTCGAATGCCTGGCTATGATGGCCGGGCGCCCTACACTTCACACCGACTAAATCTCGAAAGCCTCTGTCTTAGAGATTAGGCTTTGCAGGGTCAGCGGTATGTTTCAGAGCTCAGGAAAATGTTTCGGAGTGCAAAACCCTAACTTAGGATTTAAGGCTTAAGCTTTGTTTCTTGGGGTTTAAGGTTTCAGGTTGAAGGCTTCGGGCAGGGTTCAAGACGAAGGACTGTAAGAGATTCTTGGAGCAAAATACTGACCTGATGGTCTGGCTTGACCATAATATAAATAAGCCCAGATCTCGAAAGACAGACATAAAAGGCCTTTACGACCTACAGCAGGAAAGCAATCACTAAACTATAAACACTCCTAGCACTTCCAAATGCTAAACCCTACGGCCTGAGCCCCCAAACCCTAAACCCTGAAAGGAAAAGGAACCCTACTGTTGATGATATAAACATTCATCACCTTAAGCACCCTAAACTATGGAAATTATGGTATACTCATTGTTATGGGTAATGCAGGATTTATATCGTTGATGTTCCTTTTTGGGGTTCATGTATAGAATACTACAAGGTAGTCCCAAAAAGGAACTACTATGGGGCCTCTGGGTAAGTTTTACTATTACTGTTTTTGGGGGAGTTCCTTGTTACAAACCCCAGCAATGCCAGGTTGGAGAGCAGAAGCTTCCTCGCTCGAGCCTGATGCTCAAGGACTCCGAAGGCAGCCGTCGGGTTCAATTTAGGGTAATCTCTACGCGCTTTAGAACGGGTCTAGGGTTTCGGGTGTAATTAGGGTTTTCAGGGGTTCAGGGTGTTAGGGTTTAGGGTTGTAGGGTTTCAGGGTTTACTGTTGTTTAGGGGCTTGGGGGGATTGCCAAGGATTTGCAACTACAGGGCTCGATACGTTTCTTTGGGATTTGTTCTAGGGTTTGATCAAGGATTTACGACTTTAGGGTTTGGGGCTGAGTTCAAGGGTTGGGTTTTAGTTCAGGGTTTGCGGCTGTGGGGGGGGGGGGGTTATAGGGCTTAGCGCTTTTGAGTTTGAGGCTGCGAGCTTGAGGGCTTTAGAGCCCCATGGGGACTTGTACTAGGATCCCCAGTACTACCCTTATTCCCTTTTTGTAGTCCTAGGTTCCTTGTTAAGTTACCCAATGCCAAAAGGGAGCCCTTTTGCTTCGTAGGTTGCTGGGCCGCTGGGCATCCTAGTGTAGCTGTGTGCAGTTGTCGTGCCTATTCGTGATTGTGTTTTTTCGGTTTAGGGGTGTAGGGTGTATGGTGAGGGTCGCTGAGCTACACCCAGCAAAAAGCCGAGGGTTTGGGGTTTCTACCAGGTCACCGCTTTCTTCCAGAAGGTTCAGGGTGTAAATCCTAAATCCTTAGACGTGTGATGTAGCTGAGATGTCCACTGTTGTTCAGACTCCTCTTTGCAGGGATGAGTAGAACAAGGGTCCTGTTTCTTAGGATTTGTATTGCGGTCCTTGACTATATCTTCGGAAGTTCCCAACAGAATGCCTGAGCCTGAAGCCGGCAAAAATGCCGGATTCTAGCAGGTTCATGCCGCCAAGATGCTCTAGACTCTGCGCCCAAGCCCCTGGACCCCAAACCCCTAAGCTCTAAAACCCAAAAAAACCCCATGCCCTAAAGCCCTGAAGCCGAAGCCTGTGCTGTTTTTTACTGGCTGGACTGCCGGCTGGTGGAAGAAGGGGTTGAAAAGACCCTAAACCTACATCCCTAAACCCCTAAGCCCCTGACCCAGCCACGCACCCCTGGCAGGGCGCACGCCGGTCCACTATGCGGCTCTAAATGGCGACTCGGGGAGCGCCTTGTCTCCCAAAGTACCCCGGAGACTCCAATATCCCTTAATTAAGGAATATACCTTATAGTATAGTAGGATCCTTAGTATGATTTCAGGTATATTCCCTAATTAAGGAATATTGGAGTCTCTGGGACTGTTATGGGGGGATACTTTAAGGGACCTATAGTAGGGGTCCCTTTAAGGGTTCCTTGAAGCTTAAGGGATCTACAGGGATACTTTTATGGGGGATACTTGCCCAAATCATGATGATAATTTCAACTATAGAAGCCTTACACTCTACTCCAACCTTCAGGGTTTAGGGCGCTAGAGTAGTTCCTTTTGGGGATTGCTTTATGGCATTCTAAATCTGAGCCACAAAAAGGAATTACTATGGAGCCTCTAGGAAGGGTTGAGGGTCCGTTCAGCCTTACATATACAGGAGTAGATGCTGGTCCTAAAGTATGTAGCAAAATAGGAACCGCCCTCCAGCCGAAGTCATGGCCATGATGGGGACTCCTTTACGGTTCGGAGTTGTGGCTTGTCGGGTAGTAGGGATCTAGGGTGTAGGGTATGGGGGTTGGCGTGCAGCGATTCGCATAATATGCTTGCTGCTGCTTCAAGCGATGCCCACACCACTCACTCTTAGGCCTCGTTGGCCAGCCTGCAGAAATCACAAAGCCTACCGGTGCAGGTTCGTATACATGCTATCTATATATATATATATATAAGTTACGTATGTATATATGTATATTTTTATATAGATATGTGTATGTATGCTTGTATGTGTATATAGATATGTACATAGGTATGCTGCAAACCATTGAAAAACAATAGTTCGAGGCTTCTTCAAACAAACCCGGTGATGTAGTTTATAGTTGCTGTAACTTAGGATGTGGGCTGAAGTTTGAGTTAGGGTTTCAGCGTCCAGGATCCCCTTCCAGAACCTGGAAAGTTGGGCAACATAAAGGGTTGCGAGTTAAATGTTGTGTAGGTTCCTGCAGGATTCGGAACACAATGCCTTGCAATGAGTTCATAGAGTCATATTTACATCCGGACATCCTATGTGAACTGTTCAGGCAATGAAATAAACCCTAGACCCTAAACCGTGTTATGAACTTGAGCAGGCCAGGGGCCCCTGCGAACACTAAAACCCGTTGACTTTTTCATGGGACCTTCAGAACTGCCCGCACGGAGGGAGCATGATACTAAACCCTACACCCTAAACCTCAAGCCTAAACCCTAATCCAAAGCCCTACACCTTAAACCCTAATCCTGAACCCTACACCCGAAACCCTACACCTCTAAGTTGTCTTGTCACTTTGTGTAAGCAGCTCAGCAGACCCGGTTTATCTGTTCCTTTTCTGCTTTATGGAGTCCTCCCATGGCATGCACACCCGGACCGGAAGCCGTGATATGCCGTTTGCATGCATGGCATGGTATGGTATTTAATGTAATGTATTTTTAGTGTATCCATGTCTCAGTGTATTGATGTATTAAATTATTGTGTTACAGTATTATTGCATGAACGTTTTCATGTTGTAATGTATGTATGCATATGTACGCCTGTTTGTCTGTATGTGCTATTGTAATGTACTGTAACGTAATGTACGCATGCATGCATGGACGGATGGATGGATGGATGGATGGATGCTCGTATGTCCGTCTGCACTTACGTAGGTATATCTGTATGCATGCACGTATATGAGCTCTCACATAGATTGGTGACCCCTGTGGAAATGCCGCAAACTGCCAAGGGTAATCCGAAACTTCGCGTTAAACCCTCAACCCAACTAAGAGATACTCCGATAGAAAAGCGAGAAGCAGTACCCCAAAACGCAAACCACTCAGGCCTGCGGGCGTTCGTAGATCTTGCAAGCCTGACGCCGGGGGAGCTGTGCCCAGGGTGGAACTTAAAAAGATTTCCGTAAGGGTTTTACGTGGGTTGCAAGGGGCTTATCAGGGTTTCAGGTCTGTATACTTGCATAGCTTATTACTACCCCAAACCCATTGACCTAGCTATTGTGTCCTTCGGACGATTAGGGATGAGAGGAGGTCATCCGCTTGAAGGGATGGAAGGCTTGGTACGAAACTGAGGGCTGCATCGATTAGAATAGAGAGATGTTTGTAATTGATGTATCATCTGCAACAGAATGAGCCCGAAGGAATGGTCTTCCAGTTACCTGGCTTTGAAACTGTGTGTTACCTTTGGCATGTTCAAGGAGTTCAGAAAACCTGAAACTTTAATAAACCCAGAACCATCTTGGGGCTTGCGGCCTCGGATATGGGTTTACATTGGATACTCCCAAAGGGTCCAAAGTACCTATATAGTATATATAGAATGTAGGGTTTCTATATTAGGAATTACTATTGTGATTTGGGGAAGTATCCCCCACAACAGTACCCGTATAGATCCCTTAAAGGAACCCTTAAAGGGACCCCTACTACAGGTCCCTTAAAGTATCCCCCATAGCAGTACCTAGGGCCCTCTGGACTTCTAGTGACTGGAAACTTCAGATTTCATGTCAGGCCTCGGAATTCAAGAGCAGGATGGCTTGGTTTAGGGTGCTCACGCTCGCGGATTGGGGGCTTACTTGGAGGTTCATGGGTAGCCATAAGTAGGGTTATAAGTAACCTAATATGGGTTATAAGTATAGTTACCCTACTTATAACCACCCATGAAGCTCCAAGTAGGGATGTTTAGGGCTGTTTACCTCGTTCATCATAAACGTCTGTGTTCCCCAAATTTGCGGAAGGGGGTCGCATGGCTCGGTTGGTGCGATGGCCTGATCACGGGGACCTTCCATCCAAATGGCACCTTGCAGTCCCAATGACACTGTATAGAACATGACATACCTCCCAAGCTTAACATCCCCATTCTAGTATTTAAAGTTTTGTAGTACGCCCTATAGTATACCCAATAAAGGGTCCAAGTAATGGTATTGTATATACTTCGGGGGCCAAAATACCTGCTATAACGGTACTTGGACCCTTTGGGCTTAGCAAAACGTCCGTTCAAATTCGTTCAATCTTCTAGGATCCTCCAGCAAAGGGGACTCTGCAAATTCCTCGCGCTCCTGCGCTTTGTTCGCTGACCCTGCGTGACGAAGCCAGACGCAGAGCAAACAAGGCACCGGGCGCCAACATGCAAGGACGTTGTGTTGTCCAGGATCCACGGTGCCCACATCCCCAACAAAGGGCTTAGCGCAATCTTCCTAGTTGGCTGCGGAACAGTCTACCATGTCAGAGACTTGTTTAGGTGATTAGTCCCTTATTCGGGTAGTCCCTTATTAGAAGAAGGAGTTCTTGTCACGGCGTAAGTCCTATATCTTTCAATCCTATAGCCTCAAGCCGCGCCCGGGAAGTCGTAAACCTCACGACCCTTGACCCTACAAACCCTGGATATCACTGAATCATGTATGGGAGTTTCCGAAAATGGGGACCCTAATCTAGTACCCTGAATAGTAGGATCCTTATTCTAAGAACCCCAAATAAGGTATCCCTATTTTCGGAAACTCCCATTTAGCCTCAGCCCTGAAATTTAAACCCAAGAAATACAAGTTCTCAATGTTAAGACCGCGCTCTACGTCCCGTGTTGAAACCTTCGTACTGCTCCCAGGACATCGCCAGACAACACCGGCAGCCATGCCGCCCACCTGGCCACAGCACGAAAGTACTGGCGATTTCTGGGGGTCCTCGTACCCTGGCATAGAAGTTCACTTGAAGCATAGAAGTTCACTTGAAGGACCAGGTAGGGTTACCATTGTCCTAATCCCTAAGCCTTATAAACCCTAGACCCTCATAGCCCCGCAAAAATCGAACTATACGTAGAACACTGGACGAAGCAAGCCCCCAAAACTCCCAAGACCTTCAGCCCCAAATGCAAGAACCTTAAAGCCTCAGCATTCAAAGACTTAATTAGGCCTCAACCCCTATGGCTCTGAATCCTTAACTCCCAAACCCCAAGGGTCCAAGTACCTAATAATCATACACTCTCCGAAATCCTAACCTACATAACTACTATCCTAAAACCGAGTGCCCGATTATTGGGTCCTTTGGACCCTTGGGGAAACCCTCAAGCCCTCAACCTTGAAACTGAGCCCCTCAAACTTTAAACTGAACGCGACAAGGGGCAGCTCTGAACCCGAACCCGGGACGCATCTACAGCAGGTTGTACCCAGAGAGCCCATTGCCCATTATTTTGTAATTATACCTTGTCCTGTTAAGGGTTCTTTTCTGATTTCGGAGGTACTTTGTGTATGTAGCGATTGGTCGGCTCGTTGTGCGCTCGGGAATAGGTACCCTTGTCCAACCTACAGTAAACCATTCATCCTTAAGCATCTAAAGCTTCCCAAGCCCAGAAACCCTCACTCAGCCTAGTGGACTATGACCTCTTATCGGTACCACATGATGATTACATTTTTGCTATAGTTGTTGTTATATTTACCGTCTATTAAGATGTACTGCCTGCTTCTTTCTTGCTGTTGCCGAGGTGAATGATTGCGGGATCTCGGTGGATGCCCTTTGTTTGCGCCACTGGCCTTCGACATTGGCAGGTTTTAGTTTTCGTTTTGAATTTAGGGCTATTCTATTTTAAGAAGCTTCAAACAGCTACTATTTCGGATTTATAGTCTTGTTTTTCGTGTACATCCTTCTGTTCAGAGTTTATGCCATACTCTTTCCTACGATTTGGATGTGGAGCGTATATCCTACTTCTATTTCTATTTCGATCAATGTCCCAGCATTTGGGGTCCATTTTCGGGTTAGGGGTCAGGGCTTCGCATTTCAGGCATCAGGATTGTTTTTCGGCGTGGAAGTCCGGTCTGTGGGAGTCGCATGGAGAGTCGGGGATGGGAATCTCGGTTGAGAACGGCTGATGATGTAAATCCTGCATTACCCAGAATAAGGAATATACCAAAATTCCCATAGTTAAGCGTCCTTAAGGTAATGCAGGATTTATATTATCAACAGGAAGCTCGGCCATCTTTGCATTGCCATAGTCATGCATTCATCTCTTCTTTGCTTGCAGCGGACTGGTGCTTGCTACATGCATGTAAATGATTTGTGTGTGTATGTGTGTATTATATACACCTATGCACGTACATACGTGCATGCATATGAATGCATGACATGTGTGTTTCTTGAACCTTACATGTGTATAGATGTGGACATGTATATACATATACAGTGTATGTATGTTATGTATGTATGTATGTATATATATATATATATAAATAAATAAATAAATATACACATATATATATATATATATATATACACACACATATATTATGTGTATATACGTGTGCATGCAAATATATATATATATATATATATATATAGATGTGGATAGACAGTTACAGATGGCAACTACATATACACTCATGTGCATGAAAGGAGCGGGACGACTGTATTTGTTGGTGATTGTTATGGGCATTTGCGTGTTGTATGTAGGTACGCAGGTATGCATGTATCAGGCAGACAGCCAGGCAGGCAGGCGGTGGCTCCAGGTAGGTAGGCGGGTGGGCACGTAAGTTTATATCGAAGTGCACATCCGCACGATTTCCGTACTGATCTGTCCTTTCCCTTTACCCTAAACCCTAAACACTAAACCCTGTTCCCTAAACCCGAAACCCGAGGTGACACGGACGGTCGCAATGTGGCCCACTTGGCTGCGGCGAACGGCGACTCTCAAACCCTGAGGTGCCGCTGGAGGAGGGTTTCAATGAACTTTCTGTCATCCCCAAGCCCAAAACACCAAAACCCCGAAACGTGAATCTGCAAAGCCCCAAAACCTAAAGCTCTGCAATTCTACATCCTAAACCTAAGGTGTTGGGTGAAGGGGGGTACAGTGAGGATTGAAAGCATCCACCGGAACCCCTGAACAATGAGGGCCTAGAGCCATCCCCCGGGAGGACCAGGCACTTGGTAAGTAGGGTTCAAAGTAGTTTCAAAGGTGGGGACCCCTACCCTATAACGGGCTATATAATGGGTATATAATAGCTATATTAAGGGTATATACCTAGGGGTCCTTATTTAGGGTCCCTCCTTTTACCCTTGGATAGTTAGGGTAACTACACTTCTGAATCCTTAAAGACGGTTTAGGGTTTAGGGTAAAGACCCTAGCCCAGGTACTTGTAAACATTTACCTACTAAGTCCCCTGATCCTGTGAGTATGGCCCCCTCCAAGCCCCTCTCCACCGACAAAAACCTACCTTCTCAGGGTCCCTTATTATGAGTACCCCCTAAACCCTAAACCCTAAACCCCTAAGTTCATCGTAGATATGACCCCAACATCGCTAGAGACGTGGACGGGGACCTTACTTTGGTTCTTACGGCTTCAGGGCTTTCAGGCTTTGAGGCTTTAGAGCTTTATATACTAGGATGCCCAGTAGTACCCTTATTCCTTTTTTGTAGTCCTAGGTTCCTTATAAAGTTACCCAATACCAAAAAGAGAGGCCTTTTTATTCTAAGGTTACTGGGTATCCTAGTATAGGTTTATTACGCTAGGGTTGTTTGTTGACGTTCAAGGTTTGGGGTTTCAATTCGGGTTCGCAGAACTAGTCTTGCCCTGCATGTATATAATGGGGCGTTTGTCTATTCAGCTCGTTCCAGCGCACTTTTCCGCAGGCTTCCTCCTCTACACCCAAGATCCCCAGGGAGTCAGAGCGAGTTCGTATAGGGGCCTGAATAATTTCCTATTCCTAGGTTCCTTGTTAGAAATACAGTAGAATGTGCCCCAAAACCTTAGTCTAAGTATTAAGGCCCCTACATTCTGGCCGTATATGGGTGGAACAGTAACAGCTGCCCTTTTGGAAATCCTAAGCCGTCTCGGCCGTCCTCCCATAGACTACCCAGAAGCTTCAACAGGGTTTAGAGGTTTACGTTTTGTGGTTACGGCAGTTTCTTATGAAAGGGTTTCAACCACGAT